AGCGGATAGGCGTGTGTGTGTGTGTTTGTATGTGTGTGTGTAAGCGTGTGTGTGTGTGTGTGTGTGTGTGTGTGTGTGTGTGAGAGAGAGAGAGAGAGAGAGAGAGAGAGAGAGAGAGAGAGAGAGAGAGAGAGAGAGAGAGAGAGAGAGAGAGAGAGAGAGAGAGAGAGAGAGAGAGAGAGAGAGAGAGAGAGAGAGAGAATGATTCACTTGGTCGCCTTTTTGGGATCGGGCGGCCCATTGTGTAGGATTTATTCCCACTGCGGAAGATTTATTCACATTTTGCACATTTTGCACAGTGGTCCCTTTCATCGGGCCAGGCCATGTTGTAGCGGAGGATTCATTCTCACGTTAGCGCTTTAGTACAGAGCAAGAAGAGGCCCGTGATTGTGCTGTATTCATGGTTGTCGCTATCATCCTACCGCTCGTCTTCTTGGTGCACTTAAGGTTGGCTCAATCACACTGCTACGCATGGTTATTATTGCTTTTGCCTCCATCGAGTTGGAGGTTGAGTTCACTACTCTTGTGAACAAGCGCACTGTGTCGCAAGTGCCCCGCGGATTCATAACTATGACCCTCTACATGGTTGAAGAACTACTAGTAGGGGCAGTCGCGTCAGTGGCATCGCTCAGCTTTCTATTCACTGAATTCAAGGAACCTGGTCAGGATCCTTACCGAAGAACATAGAGTAGGAGAAGGGCGAAGTGAGCAAGGAGAATGTTGAGGTACTGACCTTGGGTGCTTTGCCTGTCAGCCACGACCTGCTGTGAGAGGTTTGGGTGTTAACATGTATGTTGGGACCCAAAAGATGGCGAACTAAGCCTGAGCAACGACGAAGGTTTGCAGCAACACACGTTTGCAGCGACGCCGGCATTCGAAACATCGACCACCGCAGAGCTGAGACCAGGGACTGTTACTGCTATGTGGCTTCGATTGCTGTCGCAGCAGTTTGGTTACCGTTGTGATTCAAGTTGTTGCAATTATTGACAGCCCTCAAACTATTGACGAAAAGAGCTACTGTTTGTTTCAGCAGCAGATTGCGGATTCGGGGTTGCCATTGCTGTTGGTGTGTTTGGTTAACAGTGGACAACTGCGTCCCTTTGCTACTACCGAGCACCGCTGTTTTTTATAGAAGGTTGCTGCTGCGAAGTACAGTTGCTTTCAACAGCAGCGGAATTGTTGCTAAGATACTGCTAATTTTAGCAACAGCAACTGCGATCTCAAGGTGATAACTGTTGGCTCCTTCAAACATTTGCAGTGTCGTTGCTGCTGAGATTGGTTGCGCTATCTGTGACATTGACCTCGACTTCTGTGATTGGCCACCATTGCGGGGCCCTCAGGAGATGAAGACAACAAGGCCCTCTCCACACAAGTCCGAGCAAACCGTTCCAAAACCTTGTGAGTCTGAAACCCCTCTAGTCTAAAGGTTCGGGTGAGGAAGGCGAAGGGTGGGATTGCAACCCACGAGACCGCATCAGGGCCTGTGGGGGTTAGCCCACCGATTGCAGGAGCTCTGCCAGAGCCCAGGCGGGGTTCCGGAGGCAGGGAACCATAAGGTATATGATTGTCATGCATATGATCTCGTATTCCCCCTAACTGTACTACCTTCTATACTGTCTGAAGTATGACTGAAAGGGAAAAAAAAAAAAAAAATAGGCACTCAAGAGGAGGGCGCATAGCGCTTGAACCACCAAGCGTTACGTTTCCCAGCCATTTTTCTCCGAGGCGGCTGCAAGCGCACCGCAAGTTTAGGGGGTTGGCCTACTGGAGTACAACGCCTGGCGACATCAGCCAAATCAGCGACCCATGCCGGATCGTTTTGTTGTTTGGGGAGGGGGGTCAGATGGGGAGAACATTTCTCGGTTTATAATACTTTATATGTGTCATCCTTGCATAGGGGCCATGCTAATCTTCTCTTCTCTCTATTGTGCTCCAATTTTAACTAATGTGCAATAACTCGGCTCAAATCTGCATAAGCTGTCGGCTCTAGGTCGTCACTTTTGGTCAAAGGCCCGACATGGGGGACAAAAGTCACGCCCTAAGTCTAGGAAAAGAATGGGGCAAAGGCCTAAGGCCAAGGGGTACCCAGAGGAGGGCCAAAACCAGCAGCATTCAGAGGCCCTATGAGGAACAGTTGACTTTGAGAAAGTCAACGGTCAACCCCAGCACGGGAATCCAGGCCCAGAGAATAAAGCCAACCCGCTGGTCAGCCCCAGCCGTAGATCAGATGCGCATCATTGTGCAGGTATCCAGAAGAATCCAGTCCAAGTGGGACACGTGGGAAATCTGCAACTGTACAGCATCCAGGCCATTGGCTTCCAATTGATCTGGGCCGTCGACCCCAGGAGACCAGCGGCTAGTCAACGTGAGTCAACAGTAAGTTGCCCCAGCCCCTGCTTGGATTCATTCAGCCTTGTGCATTCTGCGTGGCGCTGGCTTGATGCTCGTGCAACGATGCAAGGCTGCTGGAGCTTTATGCTGGCGCCAGCCAGATACTGAGTGTGGGCGCCAGCCTTGAGGGTGCTTATGCTGATGTGGCCATATAGCCACACTGATTTCGACATTTATCGGAGTGTGGGCGAGGAGGAGGAGGATCTGCACTGTGAGATTGGTGTGAGTGACGAGGAGAAGCGTACCTGGACTTACCTGTAACGTCGTGTGTGTTGCTGCTCGCCTCCGTCTCCAAGAGGAAGATCTGCGCCATCCTCCTTGATGGCTGCTGCTGCCGTCGCTGGAGGACGGGCGCCCTGCTGTGACCTGCTCAGATATCATCAGGGAAGAATCGTATTGCTGACGTGACGAGTGAGGGAGATGCCCGAGGAGGAAGTGGGCTTGAGGAGGGGATTCTGCTTCGTTGGTTCTCGTGGAAACTTTCCTCCTCCTCCTCTCAGTCTCTTCTCACTCTCTCCGAGTTCGAGATATCGGGAGACTACATGTATGACGGGCATGGTTTCATAAACAATTGTTGGAGGCATTGATGCAACGCTGTGCCATATACTTGTATTTCGACATTCACGAGCTTCTCATCCGACTGGCTTCCTTGACAAATGTCCTGAAGGACACATCGAATCGTTTTGCTTTCCGAGGAGTCCAGTGCATTCCGAGTCTCAGGTAGGAAAGGGTCAAATGTGCCAGTGGTTTCATGTCAAGCACCGCTTCATTGGCACTCCGAGGAGTCCAGCAACATCAAACACCTACCTGCTGATAGGGATAATGGTCTTCCTTAACAAAGAGTAGAGATCATTCCTTGTTGCGCAAACTAGAAGAAGAAGGAAAAAAAGGGAGAGAAATGATTCTTGGCATAGCCACAGTAGAGTGCGAACAAGTAATTATTGCGCTAGCCAATGGTTCCTGAAGGGCGTTCTCGTAATGACATGGCACACTCTTTGGATGAGAGTGAAGCACACCGTGGACGTATATCGTTATTATCAGATCTTGTTTCTACTTCCGAAGCCTCCTGAAAGCATACAAGCTGGACACAACCATACCATTAAAATGATTAAGAGAAGGAAAAAAGAAAACAGTACTCCTGGCAAAGAGTGACCATATCTCAAGCCAAGGGAGAAGAGGGCATTCGCATCTTCACACAGCAGCAATGCGAAAACGATCACAATGAAAAAAAAAGAAAAGAAAAACGATGATTTTTGGGTGGATGACACGGGCAGGACATGCTGCATGCTGAACGCCAATTGAGAACTATGAGGTATGAATGTGCTCTAAACAAAAGACCAGATCCATGCTAAGCCAGCACGGTGCAGGGCCTCGCTACACAACTCACCCCACCCCAACTTTCAGGGGAAGCAATCACCCCAACAAAGAACTCCACCCCACCATGTCACTGCTGCACACATTCACCCCAAAATATACGCTGATTGAGCATTTAAAGTAAAAACAAACAAACAAACAAACAAACAAACAAACCGAGCATCTGGTCGCAGAAAAAATCACCTGGGGTGATGACTGGCCGAAACGTCCAGCCACAAAACGTCCATTGCAGGCTGGAAGAACCGGCACCGTGACCAACTGAGCTAGCTCAGTCGGTAGTATCGGTACACACATCGAACTATTGAAATACAGACCTGAGTTCGAATCCAGAGCAACTTGAAACTCCTGAATTACCTGGGCCCGGTCAGTGTTCCATACAGATATCTCGAAGCCATCGCCCCCAAAACACAAAAAAAA